AATAATAATTGCATATAAATTATTAATGTAACGCTATCCTATTTATGGAGGAGCTCCATGGCGCAGGTGGTTAGCGCGTTCGGCTGCGATCGTTAAAGTTAAGCAACTTTCGCAGTGGTCGGTCATCGGATGGGTGGCCAAAAATCTTCTGTCTGCAGTTCCTCCGTGCTTTGGAAGGCACGATTAGCCGTTGGTCCCGGCTGCATCTGCAGTCATTAGCACCCGCCAATCCGCACTGGGCCCGCGTGATGGGTCATGGCCCAATCTCCTTATTCCATCCATAGGGAAGGCCTGTGCCCCAGCAGTGGGGACATTAACAGGCTGATGATGATGATGATGATCCTATTTATAATATTAGGGTTGTTGTGGATACAGGTTTCTCCTAGTGTGGGACCCACAGTCAATGCTACAGTATTGTTACGTTTAGTCAAAGAAAAATACACCTATTATCATCTCTGTTATGTATCTACGATTGTTTGAAATATTGTAGAATTTAATTAATTAATGTGTTCATGATGTAATAACTTATTGGAAATAACATCATTATTATTATTTCCAGCAGGCGAGCCAAATGCTTGTTTGCGGGTTCCAACAAAAACTATTGTTTTAAACAAAAAATATCTCTTATCTAATAGACAAGTCCGTCCGTCCGTGGTGCTGTTTCAGCGGCCAAACCGTAAGAGATAGATAAAGAGAATGTTTAAGTTATAAGTTAAGAATAGTCTGATAAGACTACAAACCGGATTTGAGTAACGTAGCACTTCCGGTTTTCGAGAAATCACGTGATTTCTATTTCAAACGAAACCACACAAAATCTCCGAAGTTCTCAATTAATTAAATACATTTTTTTTATTTTTTTTTTGGTGAACATTTGGTTCACTGGTTTGCTAGTAATGCATAATACAGTTTTAAGGGTAAGAAAAAATTGTTTTAAACGTACCTACTTACAATTGGTAAGCCTGCTCGCAGATCTTGATATATGATAATTATATGCTCAATTTCAAATTCGTCTAACATACTGCTGCCCCATTAATCACCAACCCCTTTATTAATAAACAAAGAATAAAATTGTACTATTTACGCAGTTTTTTGTCTATGTTTATTTAATAACAAATGTCATTTTAATGATGTAAACAAAAGACTGCGCAAAGTAATACAAGATAACATATATTTTTTTAAGTCAGGTAGGCAAATGACTCTACCCCACTTGATGTTAAGTGGTGATAAAGTCCAAACGCGAAGATAGCTGGTACAGCAGTTATAAACTGCCACACCAACCATCCTCACCTTGCGTGATATCGTTAGGTTTTGTTTGCTATATTATCGTTGTTGCTATATGTGTCATTTGATATAATGCCGTTACGTCAGGCGAGTGAGTCGAATGCTTCGGTAGGTTTCGGTACAGAGAGGTGTCAAAAAGTCAAAAATTGGGAGTCCGAAATGTCATTGTCAATTTTTGTATGAAAACTTGGTCAGCAGCGTCACAAGTTTCGTAATGAGAACTACGAGTAAAAATCAGTACACATTTGACAATGACATTTCGTACTCGAAAACGTTACGAATCCGATATTGGTTCGTGCTAAGGGTACTGAAAGGCAACCCACTCCTACGCTTTTCTTATAGCACCCACTCCCATTCTTCGGGCTTTTGAAAAAATCCTCTTTCAATCTAAAACAAAAAACAATCTGGATAATCGCCACATTATACGTTAATCATACCACCCACTCTTCACAAACAAATGAATGCCGTATTGTGCATTCAAACAGATGGAAACGAATATCTAAAGCCGCTCCCTAACAGTAAGAGTCTGACATAACCTTGCAGCCGGCTGTAGGGTTTCCATGAGGATTTCTCACCAGCTCCCTCGCCTGGAAGGAAACAAAAAAAAACACCAAAATTCTCATCATCACATTTTTTCAGCAAGTACGTCACATGTTTTCGGTATATTCTATAGCGATAAGAAGTTCACCGGTTCAGAAAGTATTGGTGTATTTATAGGAATTCGAAGTTCGCCTGTTCAGAAAGTATATTTCTAACACATATCAATTAACCTTGAAAATTTTAATTGACGACCTCCGTGGTCGAGTGGTTTGTACGCCGGGTTTCATGGTGTCGCCGTCTCGAGAGGTCCCAGGTTCGAATCCCGGTGGGGGCAGATGTTTGTGTGATGAATACGAGCATTTGTACTCCAGTCATGGATGTTTAATATGTATTTCTATAAAAATATACTTATATATGTACAGTATATGTATTCTATCCGTTACCCTAGCATCCCATAACACAAGCCTTACAGTGCTTACTTTGGGGCTAGGCTAATTGGTGTGAGTGCTGGACATATTTAAAAAAAAAAAAATAAAAAAAAAACCTACCCAAAGTAAGCTCTGTAAGGTTTGTGTTGTGGGATGCTAGGGTAATGGATAGAAATTCGTTATACGTATCATACAAAGGTATATAAGTATGTTTATCAAGAAATATATTATATAAACATCCATGACAGGTCTAAATGCTCGTGTTTATGATACAAACATTTGCATCAGCGGGATTCGAACCCAGGACCTGTGAGTAAGCGACACCTTATAAACCAGCGTATATAGCGCTCACACAGAGCTCGTCTATAAATTTAGCTAAAATGAGACGTAAACTTAATTGAAATGAAATAAAAATTATACTTTATCCAAATTTACTTTTTGAATGTGCTTTTGAATCGTCCAATATTTTTTTCTCCTGCCACCCATTTGTGGACATCTTTTTTAACTGATAAGCAGAATGGGCTCAAGAAACTTATCCGCATTTAATACAAGTTTTAAGTTTGATTTAAGAAGTTTGGTGCGAGGGCTCCGAACTAATAGTTCGGTTTATTATGATTATGATATCAAACTCCGAAGAAGGTAATAGCAACACGTTTCGTTTGAGTGACGTAAAAATGTAATCTACCGCATTTTCCTTAGAAAACGAACCGCGGCGAAGTTTAAGGTCAACGTACACAGACAATGGCTGATGTAACGCCGAATAACACTACGTTACGCGTCGCTGGGTCTAGGCTCGGGGCACACTGGGCTCAAGGGCGGAATACTGTTGGAATGATAGAACGGTACACAACCGAATAGTTACGGCGAAATAAAGGAAATACCTAGTTACTGAGAAACCGATACACTGTGTTAAAATATTGTTTTGTTATTTCATGGAATTTCAGATTCTTCGAAACTTGTACCTTCATTTTTTCTGCAGTTAAATTGAACATGGAACAATTCGCTTTGAATTAAATATGCTCCCCGTGACATAAATCACTGCTTTATACAATTGGTGCATAATCTGCTTATCAGGTTTTCCTAATGTACATTTTTAAACGACGAAATTTTAAAATATATATATATACCCCTAATTTTTTTAGACCCCCGCCCAGGGGGGGCAGAAAGAAATTAAAACAAAATCATTATTAAATAAATTAATAGTTTAAAAAATTAAGTTAAATTCACGTAAAACCAAAACTAAAATATGGATCATTCTAGTTGTCGCTATTTCTGGGCTGAAGGGTAAACTATGTGCTCTTAATTATAATATTTGAATGTAAAAGCGTGGGGCGCTAGAACAGGAAACACTTTTTGTATAATTTGCTGAGAAATCAAGATTTTATTAAAGCGATATTCATCATTATAATGAATAGAATATCTAAGAGAACACTAGTCGTGCTGCAACTCAGTTACTGGAGCGCCAATCTGTGTAACCTGTTTCCTGTAACCTCGCTTAACTTGATTTCTCAGCAAGTTATACAAAAAGTCATAGTTACATACAAGTCGACCTAATAAAAGCGTGAAAAAAAATACAAATGAATAATTCTGCTCCCACTACGTCTCCTACTTTAGCCAACCGCGTATCCACTCTTTACTTTTTAGCACAAAATTACAACATTTTATGATGTAACGGTAAATGGCTCGGTGTTGATATTGACCGACCGACAAACAGAGCGGGCTGTTGTTTTATTATGACCAAAATTAAGCTCTCGGTTCATTGACAGGCAAAATATTTTAATGCATTCATATGAAATTCGCAAACTGTTCACTAGTATTTATATTGTGCTAGCTGACCTGGCCAAATTGATCGGTCATTTTTTTGTTCATTGAAAAAATAAATAAACATACCTTTTCCTCGCAATAATGAACACAAAAAAAGAATTATCCTGTACCCTCAGTACGAGTTTTGCAATTACGAAAACTATGATAGTTGTCGTGAGCTCGCACTCATACTAAGGGGTACTGATTTTATTGTTTTCGTTTCAATACAAATTAAATGCGTTTAAATTCTATCATTAAATCATTTGCGTCTTCTTAAATTTTAATTTACAATTACGAAAACTATGATAATTTTCGTGAGATCGTACTAAGGGTACTGATTTTATTGTTTTCGTTTCAATACAAATAAAATGCGTTTAAATTCTATCATTAAATCATTTGCGTGTTCTTAAATTTTAAGTATATTTGGTTAGTTTTCACCAAAATGGACATATAAAACATAATTTACAATTACGAAAACTATGATAGTTTTCGTGAGCTCAAACTCTTACTAAGGGTACTGTTTGGTGCAGTCGTTCGGAAGTTATTTAAGAGGGGTACGGCATAGCGGATATTCTGGTCGAATTGGGGGGTCTGTGAAAGAACCCTTCACCTTATGAAATACCATAAAGTGGTGGTACCATATTTATTGACCCAATAAATAAGTAAAACAGGAAAACCCGTATACAAATTTCGTATTTTAATTATCTTGGCAAAAGATTCGCCACGTCGTCTTCGTTTACATGCACAAAACTGCGTGTCATTGCTTGTTTATTTACCAAACATTTCTCGCGCCCGATGGAGAATATAAATGAATATACTCTGCTGCTTTACCATACTGAAGAGCGTACTCAAGCTTCGCTCACTCATTTCAAGATAGCATCATAATGATTTAAAATAACAATAAGGTTTTTCCCAAAGCAAAATATTCCTAATACGATTTTCAACACTATGACCAAGTATTTTAGAGTTATCAATCAATTGGTTGTTTCATACAGTTTTAATGCATCCTGAAGCGATATTGACCATACCAACATCTATACAATAAAAAAGCAGTCGTGCACATCTTCCATAATGGCGAACGTAGATATTAGTTTGATAGACAGATTTTTTTAAATAATATTCTTTTTATCATTCCCATTCTATTAATTGTCCTCAAGTGCGCATAAACCTATTTCTATGGACAAAACCATAGGAAGAACTGGTCTAATCCACCACTCGGGCCAAATGTGGTTAAGTGGGTGATAACAACTGCAGATACAACTGGGACTGGGAACAATTGATAAGCGGGCTTCCTTTCCTTGTCACCAGACTACTTGTGCCTTAACTTCCATGATCCCAGACTGAAGGTCCGAACCACAATTGAACATATCATCCTTTCTCTAAAATTGTTTTTTTTGCGCTCAACTATTTTACATTCTAATGTTTGACTAATATCGTTTACAAATATGCACCATATACTTCCGAATCAAGTTAATATTGATAACTAAATACCTTTATTTTATTCTATTACAGATGTGATGATCAGCCCACGATGGCAGCCACCGACGGCCAAGTAGTAGTGGCGGCCTCCAGATGGTCTGATGAGGCCCACTATCTTCGTGAATTCGCCACCAAGCATCGCCTGCCAAGCGTCGCCAAGATCATCAAGGGCCAATATGGTGGCCTTGGCGTACCAACCTTACCAAGCCCTGGCCTGCAGAGTACAGCTCTCCTCATATCAGCAGGGAAAAGAAAGAAGATCATTGCCCAAGCCATCAAACTAAAAGAGGGAAGACGAATGGTCAGCGTCGGACCTAGAATTGCTATCCCCGAAACTTACAAAGGGTACTTTGAATTGCTCAGTGAAGAAGGAAGAGCCGTTAGATGTATCGAATCAGTAGCAGAACTCGCAAGGAGAAAATTAGACGACGGATGCTTAGTGAGAGAGCCCGTTAGAGTTATTTGCGCTAAAACTGACTTAGATGGGAACGTAACAGCTGATGGGGCGAGAAACCTACCCGCTGGTGAAATACTAATGCCAAGAGGTGAAGTTTTCTTAGGTAAAAGCAAATATCTAAAATGTACCGACACAAAAGGTGATACGGTACTACTGAGTTTAGACCAGCGAGGAAAGTTTTCAGCTGTCGCCAAAGAGGAGAACATCAGCGGTGTGCATACAGCAAAGACGCTTCTCACGAAGAGGTTGCCAGTTACAGTGAGATTAGTGCACGGAACACCACCGAGAGGACTAAAGAGTTCCAATCACTTTGTGCCAGAACTAAGACTGCTTTCAATGTTCGAAGAAGATCACGTGTTTGCATTGCCACTACAAAAAGAAGGCAATGCCCTCATTGCTCTACCATTAGCGGCTCCCCTTAAAATGTTGAGATGCAAAAACGAGGAGCAAATAAAAAATTTCATGGAGTTCTCGAGGCTAGTCGAAAAGTGCAATCGATTGCTTGTGGACGTTGTTGATAGGATACACGTTTTGGACGGAAAACTTGGTGATCCTAAGAGGCTTCTGAACGGTCCCCTTCATGCCCCACCGTTGATAAAAACCGGTTACTTCCTCAGACGAAGTGCGTCTTCCGACACTGCCAATCAGCACAAGTATATTTCACGACACAACCACGTTTACAGTAGTCACAGAGACGAAAACACCATCCCCGATGAATATGATGAAATCGATCAAATATACGACTATGTCAGGGGGTTTGCGCCTCTACCCAAAAACATTAAGGCGTCATATACAAACGAGCCCACCAGACATGAGTCTGCTCCCTCTTCTCCCGCTCAGACGCCGATCCACATGCCTCTTATTACAGAAATTAAACCAGAACCACCTCCTATCGAAACCATACCAACAAAAAAGGCCATAAATCAAAAAGCAGAGAAGAGGACACGCAAAGCTTCATTGCCTGTCAAAGAAACGCCAGTCACTGTTTACAAAGAAAAGTGTTCCATCGCTCCGGCGCCAAACAATCTTCCTAAATTGTTTATTAAGAATAATCTGGTAAATAATAACAAAGGTAGCAGAATGGTGTTCAGGCAGAAGAGCAATTCTCCCACGAAGGAGACTCCTAGTCCGGTTACTAGTCCTGTTCGCCCGATAACTAAAGGGGACTCTCCGATCTTCAACATAAGATACAAAAGCCTCTCAAACATCCAACAAGCCATGGAACTAGACGGAACCTTGGACTCGAGTCACTCCGGCGGTAGGACGTCTGGTGATTCGAACAATGGGCCGAAACTTCCAGAGAAGCGGTCGAGAAAGCTGAGCAGGCCTAAGTCCTTGACGAATCTTGTGTGGGAACTGAAGGGGTGTCCTGTGGAGTCGAGTGATAAACCAAAATGTAGGGTTAAAAATGAAGGTTACAAGAAAACAGGAGCGAAGCTGTCGTTAGGCGCGCAGAAGAGGGTGCCCACATTGTATCTCTGATTCTGAGGTAAGATAAATTTATTTCAAAGTTTAATATAGTATTAGGAAACAACAAAAATACACGAAAATAGTGGTGATGCTATCACCACCAAATACATGGTATTTGGATGCCAGCAGTTTATTACCGTGTTGTAACGTGTGTTCAGTCGGTCTACCTCGCAATCATGATGAGTAAATATGTAAATTAAGACAGTATCTAATTTGATATAGATTATGGTATCGACTGTGAAATGATTTTCTAAATCTAAAATTAAATTTGAGAACAATATATACATTCTCTAAACAGAATAAAAAAGAGAGACTAATGATTTTAGTTTTTAGTTTAGAGAATCAAGCCAGAATCGACACCTATGTCTCACTTCGGAATGTATATCCAAAGTTGCCTTCATTTGAAAAAGCTGTGGGTTTTCAATTTTATTATCTAAAATCACGTTAGAAAATCAATAACTCCTTATATTTATTTTATTTATTTATTTTGGCAGCATACAGTCATGTACATCAATGTTTACACCATCTTAAAATAATACATAGGTTTTAGACCTTGAGTGCCTACAATTATATTGTTATGAAATTTTATGGAAGTCAGGTTAGAAGCAATACAGTGTGCTATATCATCTTTATCAGATTTTGTATATCAGTTATAACAACATTTCAAAGGCAGATTTTGTGCAGTATTTAAATATAAAACAAAAACCTTGAATCAAATACCAAAATCAGAAAAAAACGCAGTAACAGTATACAGAAAACTACATACAGGTTGATCATCCGAAACTGTTAAATAAGCTTTATGTTGCTATCAGATAAGATACACGTTGATGCGTTAGGGTTTTTAACCATTGTGCTGCTAAACTCACGTATGTACATATATAACAGTAAAGAAAATGTTTTTTGTAGATTTGATGTTGTTTATATATTTGATTTTCAAGCTGGATCTCCTGATTATGAATATAAACAGGTACATTTAGCTTACCTAAACTAAAGGAACCTATTTATATTTATAAACAGAAGACAACAACAATACATGCTGCCCAAGAAATTTTAATATTATCGAAGTAAAAGCTACCCAAACGAGAATATTGCTTACTATTCTAGTATTGGCAAAACAGATGGCATATCACGACCCTTTAAGAGGCAGCAAATTGCAAAATTTAGCAGATGAGCACCCGGTCGTAATCTATGCTAATGCCAGCCACAGTCTGCGTACAGTACCTTGCATAATCGAACCTTAAAATGCTCATCTCGATGTTGCATTACTGCTCTGTGGCCATGGCAGTATTGTGAGAAAGGTTTAAATACATTTTACTTGAAACACTTTCATGTGCTTTTTAAATATCTGCTAGTACATCATTCTTTCCCGTTACAAAATTGAACTAAAACCATGAACGAATTACGCCGATAATTTATGTGTGAGTAAACTGTTTTTTGGAGCTCGATGGCGGTTAGCGCGTTCGGCTGTGATCGTTGAAGTTAAGCAACTTTCGCAGTGGTCGGTCATTGGATGGGTGACCAAAAATCTTCGATCTCGTGTTCCTCCGTGCTTCGGAAGGCACGTTAGGCCTTTGGTCTCGGCTGCATCTGCAGTTGTTAGCAGCCGCCAATCCGCATTGGGCCTGCGTGGTGGGTCATGCATGGCCCAATCTCCCTATTCCATCCATAGGGAAAGCCTGAGCCCCAGCAGTGGGGACATTAATAGGCTGATGATGATAATGAGGGCTACAGACCAGGGATGTTACGGAGCTTCGACTCCGATTCCGATAAGGCGGAACTTCCGATTATTATTCCGAAGGTGTAACTTCGGCTCCGAAATTTTTGAATCGGAGGTTGAAGCATAGCAGATAGAGACGGCGGCCTGCGTCGACCGTTACGAACCGGTTCATACCCGCCGCGTTGGGAATCTGTGTTAATAATAAGTAAATTTAAATAAAAAAAAAAGATTATTTTATAATCAAAATGAAAAAAGGAAGACTAAATGATGTGTTTAATTGTTCTTCAATGAAAAATATCTCTCTTGACTCCGGTTCCGACTCCGATAAATCAAATTTAAAAACTCCGACTTCGACTTCGGTTCGGATAAATTTACCTCCGTTACATCCCTGCTACAGATCTATTAAATTATTAAAACTAGCCGTAAGTGTTCCAAGGCGGACTCATTCCAGGTGTTTTATAAGTTAATGAAGCCATTCAAATCAAGGTCCATACGCCCGGTTGAAGTAAAAAGTGGTCCCAAACCGTTACACTGGATAATCGCGTGATGCACACCAATAAATTGGTAACAACCCAGTCTATATTAGCTGTTAGGGCTGCCATCATTTACTAATTAATAATAACTTTTATTAATTTAGATTTTAACATTAATATTAAAGTAATTATTTCTTTACCGAATAGCGGTGGCAAGCTAAGCAATCATCATCATCGTCAGCCTATTAATGACCCCACTGCTGGGGTACAGGCCTTCCCTATGAATGGAATAGGGAGATTGGGCCATGACCCACCACGCGGGCTCAGTGAGGATTGGCAGGTCCTAACGACTGCAGATGCAGCCAGGACCAACGGCTTAACGTGCCTTCCGAACCACAGAGGAACTCGAGATAGAAGATTTTGGTCACTCATCCAATGACCGACCACTGCGAAAGTAGCTTAACTGTAACGATCGCAGCTGAACCGCTAACCACCCGCGCCATCTCGCTCCTCAAAAAGCAAAGCAGTAATCCTGATAAAATGGATGTTACATCTTTATATGCTGTCCGTATACCATCCTCAGCTTACCAGACTGAGTCCAATCTTTTACTCCATACAGCCCTGGAACACATCAACAGAAACACAACACCTACCAAAGGTAATGTTATTTTACTGTGGCCTACTGTTTCATAAGAGAATAATGCCAGAATTAGACCAAGAATACAAAAGCTAACGTGAGTGCCGTTGAACATCCAGTTGAAAGTTCAAGTTTAAATATATTTTTTAAGTTTTTAAGCATTTAACTGCTGCATTTTTAAATCTAAAGAGAATTTTATTAGAAAAGAATCGACGTGGACCAGGCAGCAGAAGGGACTCGAACCCGCACCCTCCGCTATCCGGGCGGATGCACTGACCATTATGCTACCCTAATTGTCCGTGTCAAATTTTTTCTAGTATTTCTGAGGCTGCAAACAGCGTCACCTCTTCGCATTGTAGGTCCCAAATCCAGAATGGCGAACATAATCATGTTCGTAGTTCAGATTTTGAATATCATAATTAATTTTTCAATCTCTGTACCGCTCTCATTTAAATATGTTTAATGGTCGGAGTCGACTATGTTATTGATTTCCTTTATTTATATATTCTGTAGAAAACCTAGCCCAAATTCCATACAATACAACATACAACATAAATTGAAACATCTTCTTTAAACCGTATCCTTTGCTACAAGTGGGTCTTAGAATTACTTTATTAGGTAGACAACCCTACTGATATCAGGTTGGCTATGCAGTCGCTGACCGGAGCGCAGGATGTGACGTCACGATCCTTGCTCCTGCCCCAACGGTGGTCGCTATTAACCAGTTGCTGTTACATGCCCGTGTGAACATACGCCTTACTGACGAATCGGCCAATTCACAAATAAAAATTAAACCTGAAGCATAATTCTCGCGGCGTAGATATTATGTATACCTACATGATCAGCTGTGTTGATTCTTCGTACCCAACAATTATAGCCGCAGTAGGAAATACAAGTTATTTGCAGTGCCATTATGCCGCTCTCCTGCTTATATCGGTCTAGTACCCGTTGGACCCTCAAGTGTCGACCCAAAAGCAAAATTGCCCATTGAACCTCTTTTTTGGTGCCCATTGGACCTTCTTAAAAATTTTATATTCAATGTGCCCATTGGACCTTCAAGATTATGCCAGTTGGACCTTATTGACAGTTTTGTTATGCACAATACAGTCATATAGAAAATTGCAGACAAAAATAAAATTAATAGTAGGTATTATAAAGCCACAGGTCATCGGCTTTCAACTCTCTCCTGGCTGCCAATCCCGCGTGTGACCTGTTTGCAGATGCGTGGTCCAAATTACTGTCAGAATGCTTGCGCTATTGTGAAAGGGATGTCTGAGTCTGATAAATTTTTGTTTTTTGTCCTGTGTTTATTATCACTGTTGTTATCTGTGCCTTTAATTATGGTAATTGGTATTTCAGTAATAATTAAAGAAATAATAATAGAAAAAATCACTTTCGATATTATATCGAACGAACTAGCTAGGAAAACCATTTTAGCAATTCTTATCATGTCGCAATAGATATTTATCTTCAGAAGATCAGTACCCCTAGCACGAACAAATATCGAATTCGTATCGTTTGCGAGTCCGAAATGTCATTGTCAAATGTGTACTGATTTTTAGTTCTCGTTACGTACTTTGTGCCGCTGCTGTTCAAGTTTCCATACAAAATTTGACATTGTCATGTTGTCTGCTACAGCCGGCTGTAGGGTATCCATGAGGATTTCACACCCGCTCCCCCGCCTGGGAGGAAACAAAAAAAATCGGCGGTTATTATTCATATTAAAAAAAAACTTAATATCGAATTGAGTTTGAGACCCAGTTTGGCTTTGATTAAGGTATTCAAGTTGAGATACACAGATTGATAATAATTGGTTTTTCTAATTTCCGGTATAGAAAATAAAGACTCCTGCTCAAATTATATTGTGGTAACTACAGGCAACTACGGAACCATACACTGCGCGTGGTACGACACACATTTGGCCGGTTTTTCTATTTTATTGTCATGTCAGCGAATATTGTTTTTGTTGCAAGCTTTTGTTTTAATCTTATCGTCCTCTTATGCTTCGGTACTTAGTCTATTTGTCCTTAAGGTCTTTTTACCTACATAACTTTAAGTTTAATAAATAAAATCAGCATTTTATTATTCACCATTCGATCAAAGATTCGAACAATAGTCAGAGTGGTGCATAACTTTCTAAACACTTGATATTTACAAACAGGTGGATAAGGCGCGAGAGTTTTGACATTTAAAATCGAATAACGTCATTGCAAGTCAATTAATTCAGAGAGGTCGTCTCGAACGGTTCGACGATTTAAGCATTAACATTAGGGATGATGACCAGGTAAAGTAAACAAAATACTTTTAAGTCCGTCAGTTAGTTTTAAAAATATAATGTTTACTAATTTTCTCTATTGTCAATCAACCAAAGAATTACAAAGATAAAGCACGTCAAAGTTTGGGAGCTCCTGACGTCACTGTCAAGTAAAAATTTTAACAAGACGTGACGTCATGCGACCTTTCAAATCAAATGTATCTCTGTAATGTTACTCCGTTAACTCTGTAATACTTAAAAGTTAGTCGTCTGCCCTATTCCTATATGTACGAAATGATGACACTGTTGCCATCTATGTTCTTCCTTCCATCACTGTCCAATATCGACCTCCGTAGCCGAGTGGTTTGTACGCCGGGTTTCATGGTATCGCCGACTCGAGAGGTCCCGGGTTCGAATCCCGGTGGGGGCAGATGTTTGTGTGCTGAATACGAGCATTTGTACTCCAGTCATGGATATTTAATATGTATTTCTATATAAATATACTTATATATGTACAGGTATATGTATTCTATCCGTTACCGTAGCATTCCATAACACAAGCCTTACAGTGCTTACTTTGGGGCTAGGCTAATTGGTGTGCAAAAAAAAAAATAGGCAGTGTAATTTATTTGCTCACACGTTTGATTGCACCAGAAGGTGCAAAACAACAAAATCGTCAGGCAAATTACAAAATCTAACGCTAATTGTCTTATTTTCTTTTCTAATTCCAAAAATACTAAGAAGACCCTACACTTCTCTTAATATGGAGTGTGAATGGAGCACAGAATGCTAGGATAGAAGGCAAACCCGATATAAGTAACGTAACAGGCGTCTTCGCCCTGCTGTTTCCAACCCAATTAATTAATACGCCTTGTTTAATTAACCCATTTGAATCAAGTAAACTACAGGAATCCTCTCGCCTCGTGGAATGAAACTCTAGACATTTTACTCGCCAAAAATACAACACCACCAAAAAGTCTTATTTTATTCACTGTTGTTTCTGTAAAGGCGTAGGATCCTTTTTCATTCCTATGGGGAGAGGGAAACTCGCTATACTCTCTAAGTACCTGTTTTAAACCAGTACCTTTGTATCTAAATTGTAAAACAGAGTATACTTTTTTTAAGTTTAAGGATAGCCACAATACCATCACTTTACACAATTCATACTCTAAGGCCTACTTGGACCAAAGTTCTTGATCAATTTAAAAAGCTAACCATGTCGAAGCTTCATTCTATCCCCATTTAACTTGAATCAATCGACAAAGATGGAAAGATGTGTTAAACAAGTTTTAAGCCTTAATTTGAATTAAGAATGTTGACGAGTGGGACTAAAACTATGATTAAAATAGATTCTTTTCAAGATGCATGACATGAGTCTTTGTTACTTGAAAATACTTTTTCTATGATTAATGAACGCGTTAACTTTACTCAAGAAAGTTA